GATGTATTCTTTTCGTTAATAAAGTTGTCGCACACAGCTAGCTTGCTTTAGCAGTGTTGCAAAAACTTTATTTTCGGGGAGAAGGGGAGATGTAACACTGTAAAGTGTTTGGTTTAGGTTAATACATATATAGAGTACACGAGTCACAGACAAGGATCTGAGAGGCGCCAGTTGTCTGCCTGAGATCTCACACCTCTAACCGTTAATGACCCCAAGTGACCTGAGGTCAGATCATGATAATTTCACCTTGCTTCCGCTAAGCGTATAATTGGAGCCGGGTAGCCTTCAAACATGCTGACGTTTAAGGAGTGGCTTGGTAGTGCCGGAGGCTATCTACTTGTGGGCGGAGTTAGCTACTAGGTTCCCCAATATAAACTCGGAGAGCTATCCAGCATGAAGCATTAAGAGACAGAACAGCAGAGGAGAGGCCAGCCGTCGAGATAGGCCGTCACCAGACGGGGGGTGACGCTGCCTGAAAATTGCAGACCCCCCCCCTCTCTATTCAACTTAGACTCCGTCCTCGGTGAGTGAACATTTAGGTGACTTGTCGTGGTTTACATATGTTGTGTGATGATCAGGGGCAGTTAAGTTGTAGGGTTCTCGAATTCTTGGATGATGACTCTCTTTAACATTTTAATTGGATTGCTTATATTATGATACTTCATGTGAAATATAATTATGAATTTATTATTTAAATTGTGTTTAACTTTGTGCCCTAGAGCTTTGAGTTGAGGATTTGAGAAAGCCTCGGTGGTTACTAGATTCAAGATATTAATGAGTACATGTTTGGAGTTGATACATGGTACAGAGGGAACATACTAATAACGAACTCATGATAACATCTTTTGAGAATTTTGTGATACAGGCAAGTTCCATTCCTTGTCTTGTATGTAATGATCATGAATGGATGGTGGCAGCATTTCGTCTTCTACTATCTACTCTTCTACTTCTACTATCTACTCTTCTACTTCTACTATCTACTCTTCCACTTCTACCTATCTACACCTCTCCCTCCACCCCCTCTAAACTCTCACTTTCAACTAATGACCCTCCTCGCTCCTCCCACCTCCCTACCTCTTACCCCAAACCCTCACTAATTACTTCACTATTCATTTCTTTCCTTTCGTTTCCTCTTATACGTTTGTGGCAATGATTCTGTATTCTAGAGTTCTCTCTAGAGTTTCGGGTAACTGATCAAGGGACGGCGCCTTGTAGTCTTAGCACCTAGGTAGTCAAATACATAGGTTACAAGGTGTTGAACGAGAGAGGTTGCCTTAGGAACTCTGGAGGTGCTCTAGAATAGTTAGCTAACTGGGGACGGGATAACGGACTAGAGAGAGCTGTTTCCCCCGGCCTCGTTAGTTAACTGGGGGGTGGAATAATGGACAAGATAGAGCCATTTCCCCCACCCCCCGTTACAAGAGGTCCCAAGATGCTGCCCTGTGGCACTCCAACGGTTATTGGTAGAGTGGAAGATGTAGTATCATTGATGGCTACACATTGGTGTCTGTCACTAAGATAGGATCGGATATAGTCCAGGGCAAGGCCTCGGATTCCATAATGCTGGAGTTTAAGTAAGAGGTAGTTGTGATTAACAGTATCAAAGGCTTTTCTTAGGTCAATGAAGAGTCCATTCGGAAACTCATTTTTATCAAGGGCTGAGTAGATTACGTCAAGGAGACTAATGATTGCATCATTGGTGCTCTTTTGGGACCGGAAACCAGACGTTAGTATCTATATACAAATACAAAATACATATACAAATATTTATTCAGGTAAAGTACATATATACAAGGTGAGATACAAAACGTCGATTGATTTATAGATAGAGCTAATACTTACAATGCCTAAAGCCACTATTACGCAAAGCGTTTCGGGCAGGAAACTAAGACTAAATCTTAATACTAATTGAGATTAAAGTATAAATTGTGCTGAGAAAATAACAAGAATGAAAAAAGGGGGGGAGGACATTGGCAGAAAAAATAGCAAAAATACAATTTGGTCAACAAACAGCATTGTTTAAAATAGTAGACATGGGTTAACCCATGTCTACTACCCATATAACCCATATAACAAAATTATTGTCCTGTGGAGTTGATTTAACTTCCAGACACATTTTTTTAAATAAATATTAAATGTTTTGTGGCTATTTTTGAAAGATATAAGTACAAATACCCATTCTATTTGTTAATATCATTAATTAAATTTTGTGATAATTTGAGTAAAGAAGTGTGACGACTGGATCACTGTGTACAGGAGGCTGATATGGCAGCAAACACTCTCCAGGCGACCATATATCTTGGATAAGTCGCTCCACAATTTTGTAGCTTGGGCCGTCGACTTCCTATGGCATCACCTGCTACATATTTACTTCTAATTTCGATATGAAATTACATTATTTCAGATTGAAAATAGGTTTATCATGTTCTACGTGCAGCACCAACATTACAGTAAGTAAATGTGCCATATTTCGTCATTACTTACGTAATGTCATTGGAGGACGTCGTTGTCTGACGCTGTTGAGTGTTCGTCCTTGGAGGTGCCCGCCTCTGCCCGCCACCGCTCTGCCTGACGCAAGTTTCTTCCCAACATATACCCCCAGTCCATTCTCAACCAATCATGTCTCCCAATAACAAGATTGCGCAGGGAAATAAGAGCAACAAAGCCCCTAACAAGGCATCCATCCTGACCAACTCTGACAGCCTTCGTGTTTCTCCGTCTGGAAGCTCTGGGGTCCGCGGCGGCGGTGCTGCCCTCCCCTCTACTCCATCACTGAGCCAGGGAGCGGTGTCCTCTCCTAATTCCATGCTTCCATCCTACTTTACGAAATTCAAGCGTACTTCTGGTCCCTCACTGGATTTCCCTAACTGGGCCGAGAATCAGTGGTTCAAAAAGATGTGCCTAGTCCTTGAGGCTCACAATGCGATCATCCTGAGTCTTCATACTGAGAATCAAGCAAACGTCGCGAGCCTTCATCAACAACAACAAGAAATAACCCTTCTCCGGGAGGATATTAGAAGCTTTAAGGCTAGCCAAGATCAACTCCAGCATGACTTGAATGATCTCCGTGAGGAAAATATGCGTCTAAAAACTGATGAAGCCATAAAAAAAACAAGAGGAAGCTCTCAACAAAATGACTGCATGTATCGGTACATTATCCGCCCAACATTCCATCTCCCAGGATGAACAGGACCAACAAAAGCTGCTCGACTCTGTTATTGTGTCGTCCCAAGTTATTCCTGTGGAAAGTGAAGGTGAAAAGTGTATTGAAATAGTTCATGCTCTCATAAAAGACGAATTGTGTGTCACTCTAAATAAAACAGACATTATTGCTGCCTACAAAGTAGGCAAAAAGAATCCATCAGGTCTAAATCAGCAAAAAAATCGCTTCAAGCTATCTTCCCAGTCCATAAAATCGCATCTTGTCCGGACAGCTGCATCCCAACGAAAGGGAATCTACATCAACGAGTGCTTGACTGGAAAAAGACAGCAACTCCTCCACCGCCTGCGTCAATTCCGTAAACAAAACCCGGCTTCGATTCATCAGTGCTTCGTTAGAGATGGCGTGATTAAAGTGAGAAAGACCTCAGAAGGTAAAAATGTTTACAATTGCTAATGAGGATAACCTCAACACTTTCCTCTCCCAATGTGGTTTGTCCACCTTAGTATCCCTCTCATTGAGACAACATAATTAGCCCCTCTTGTCACCTAGTGCGGGCTAGGTATCCAAAGTCTCTTTGTTACACTTTTTAAAGTAAATTTTAATTTAATTTATATTAGTCAGTTATTGGACTTAATTAATTGAGTGCATTAATATTTTTCTCTAGTTCTTATTAATTATAGGATCATAACTAAACTATTTATAGTTAATAATCTAGTACCTATTTGATTGTAACCTATCCACCGCTGGCCACAGGATGGAGGGGGGGGGGGGACCGGTGTGCAGGACAAACATATCAATTGTGACACTAGCTCTCCACTTATGTCAGTTGCTTAATTTAGAAACTGTACTTGTGGTCGATCTCGATCCCCTTTATGATGTGACGACTTATGCTGAATTTTGTAACTAGCTCATCAAGATTGTAACTTGCTTAGCTAAATGAAGTGTGGGGTTCAGTCCCTGAGCCCATTATGTGCTTCTATAACCCTTTACACTACCGCCCACAAGATGGGTATGAGGTGCATAATAAATGAACTAAACTAAACTCATTTGGGCACTCAATTTCCACCTGTATCCCCTAGTGCGTGTGCCCCTTTCGTTAAATAGCATGTCCTTATCTAACCTGCCGATTCCTTTGAGAATCTTGTATGTGGTGATCATGTCCCCCTAACTCTTCTGTCTTCCAGTACATTCCAGTGTGTGTGTGTGTGTAAACCACGAAATTTGACACGTGATGAACAATGTGACAGTGTCAGACCAAGAAGAAAGGATTGAAACAGGAATTTCTTTAAATACTTTCGTATTTAATAATACATCTTCAGAAGGCTGATATTCGGTTGTTGATATTCACATTTTAGAAGGCTGATATTCACATTTGCCCACATGGTGGGAACTGTTAAGAAATGCCTAAGAAAAACCTTACACCGGCAGAAAATTAATCTCACCGAATTACAGACCCTTGTCGTGGAAATTGAAGCACGAGTCAACAACAGACCTCTAACCTACTTAACAGAAGATTTCTCCCAAAGAGAACCCCTAAGTCCCTCTCATTTGATTTATGGTGGTCTTCTGAGCCCTCTAATATCTCTAGAAGACGAGGATCCAGCTGACCCTTCGTGTGTCAAAGCAAGTGACTTGGTGGAGAGTTATAGACACCTTTCAAGAGTAATAGAGAAATGGAATGAGGTCTGGACACGTGAATATTTAACTGCTTTAAGAGAATATCATTATGGAGCTGCAAGCCCATACAATAAAGTTCAACTTAAACTAGGTGATCTTGTCCTAGTAGACAGTGATGGACCCAGGTCAGATTGGCCTATAGGTAAAATTGTTGACATACATCTGCCCGCCATGGTGTATTACGAATTGTTAAAGTTCAGTGTCGAGGCACTACTACCTTGAAAACACTAGAGAAATTAGTACCTTTAGAGTTAGCAGAACACCAGTGTTCTACAGACATACCTGTAACCCAAGTTTCAGAGAACAATGATTCTACTCAACCGAGCACAAGACCATAAAGAGTCGCTGCTCAGAACTGCAAACAGAAACTTAAACAATATTTTGATTCTATTCAAGAGTAGATAACTTATCATCTAAACTTAAGGTGACCACGCTGATGCAGTGATGAGTTGATGTCCAGTAATTAGTTACGAGTCATAGTGACCCTGGACAGTATCCTCACTGTATTGATGAGGTCTCCTTAATCTTAAATGAACCAATTATTCATAATTTATTTTTTGTTAATATCCTTCTGTCTCTTACAAAGGAATTATTCAATAATTTTCAATGTTTATTTACGTCCTCATGTTGACTTAGAGTCATCTACCACAGATTCGGGACATTCGTTAGGTGCGTACTAACCTACTAATCCATGAATATAACTTCAGGATAGAGAAACAGGTGTACGTTAGTACTAATACCTGAACTACGACCCGAGTTTTCTCTTTCCGGAGTTATGTTGGAAATAACCAACAGTTTTATACATCTTTGTATTTTATGCAACCTTTGTATTAACCATAAGTAGTTACTAAAATTACTAACTAGTAGATTTAATCAGTATCATGATTTATTTACACATATTGCCAGATTCTTCCTAGTCAGAGTCACGACGTGAGGAACGACAGGCAGTAACATGAATTCTCTCCACATTTAGTTGGATTTATAACAAGAGTCCAGTTTATCATTTCCTTTACTAAAAATAGTTACTTACTAATAAGTTTAATTTCGTAGTATACTACTACTACTTACTGGAACTCCCTTATTTAGTTGATATTAAACATTCTAGAGGAAATTACTTTAATGTAAATGATTTTACTTTAATTTCCTCGATTAGTTGCACAACTTTAATAATCCAATTTATGTTATGCGAAATTCTATTTTATCTCAGAAGAATTTAATGTGATATTAATACTAGTCACTACTTCTTCCTTCCTTAATCAATTGCGATATATACATATGCATTTACGCTCGAGATGTCTATCAAGAGCCGCGCATGCGCAATAAGGAAGAGGAGGAAGACGGGAGAGCGTCACTAGACACGAGAGAACGAGAGAGCACGACGCTGACGCCATTGACAGCGTGTAGCAGAGCTACGTTTTGATCCCATTTATTTCGCTCCAACGACCAGTAGAGCGGTGCCACGTTATCTGGCACATTAGCCGTATCCCAGACTAGCATATGAGCAATTCCAAAGTCAACGCCTTTCAAGCAGCAGCTGGAGGACGAAGAATTGCTCAAGTCTCTAAATCAACGGACACGCGGCTCGGCAGGTAGGTTTACCTTTTTATTATTATGTGGCCACAGTTAACATTTAGGCTAGTTGTCGTTAGGCCGTAGAACAAATAATACAATCCCGTACGTGTCTTAATTAAATTTACCATCTAAATAGATGATTAATTTCATTATTTTCTCCAAAGAGAATTTGCAGTGCTTATTAGCTGATAGTTTCCACTGTTGTTCTCATAATTTAGGATGTATTTGTAGTTACTTATTATGTAGAAGATTTCTACAATGTAATTGCCTTTCAGTACCACGGCGACGCCAACCGAGGTGCTAGGCTTCCCCACCGTCCCGTGCAACAATTTGCCCTATGCAACACGTCGTCGGTGGAGCGGGCTACCAATTACACCTCACTAGATTTACAGCTAAGCTGTCCATTTTTTATCTGTAGCAATAACTCTGTAGTGATCTCTCAAAGAGATCAATTACACTAACCCATTGATTTACTGATGCTGTTCAACTTTTCAGTAGTATATTGAGGAGCATTTACCTCCAATTAATACTATATAATCAACCTTATTACTTACTTTTATTATAATCAACCTTATTACTTGGCACAGAAACGTTCTTGGGGGATCATACTGCACACTTAATCTCTTAAAACGTTACAACTGCCATGAGAAAATCAGTATTTTATTGTAAGAAGTGAAGCTTGATTTCTAGTTTGTTTATGTTTATTTTGTTTAGCTATTCTTAAAAGCTGGTAATACTTCAGATTGAATGCACCTGTGCACCATCATTGATTGCATTAGAAGGCTTAAACGAGTAAAATAACATTGAATTTGGAATAGGATATTGGGAAATTATTGACAAACTTTATTATTTCCAATCTTGTGAATACTATTTACATAAAGACTTAATAATAAAAGGATACATAGTAGAATACACTATTATAAGTGATAATATCACTATGGGTGGTGATACTCAACGGGTTGTAATGTCACTATGGGTGGTGATACTCAACGGGTTGTAATGTCACTATGGGTGGTGATACTCAACGGGTTGTAATATCACTATGGGTGGTGATACTCAACGGGTTGTAATGTCACTATGGGTGGTGATACTCAACGGGTTGTAATATCACTATGGGTGGTGATACTCAACGGGTTGTAATATCACTATGGGTGGTGATACTCAACGGGTTGTAATATCACTATGGGTGGTGATACTCAACGGGTTGTAATGTCACTATGGGTGGTGATACTCAACGGGTTGTAATATCACTATGGGTGGTGATACTCAACGGGTTGTAATATCACTGTGGGTGGTGATACTCAACGGGTTGTAATATCACTATGGGTGGTGATACTCAACGGGTTGTAATATCACTATGGGTGGTGATACTCAACGGGTTGTAATATCACTATGGGTGGTGACGGGCTGACACAAACACAAAATCTTCATGAATGCAGCCCTGGAGGTTAGAGGGTAGATCAGAGAATCAGAGAAAGGAGGAAAGATACAGTCACTGATGGAATATGCATTATGTAAGCTCCGCCTCTGTAAGCAATATGTTGAATTTAAACAACTGCTTACACTGAGTGAAGTAAAATAACAATATGAACTCTAGTGGTCCGAATTGCGGTTACCTCAGCTGCTCGGAACTTTGCCATGAAAGTTTAATAGGTTAACTTTTCTTCAGGCGAATCGGACACAGGGCGTTTGAAACAGATCGTGAGCCGTGGATCTAGAGAGGATGTTAAAAACCGTCTCTATCTGTTGAATTAGTGACGCCGCTTCATTCCACATGACCATGAATTGAACTCTTGCTTTTCAACTTCCAAAGTAGGCTTCACCTGCTTAGGAAAAGAGTATGTGGTAGATGTTGATATAGAGTCTATTAGGGGATACTTGTTGGACAGATATATGAATTCCGCAGTAGCTTCGTACATATCATCAGTTTGATCTACTTTTTTTTGGAAGATTAGAGACGGCTTGTACCACAAATGCTGCATATCGAGCAGCTGCATTCCATGCTGCCAAGAACACTGCACTAGTCTGCATTACGGCATCTGTTTCTTCTACTTGAATTGAAGGTATCATAGCGTCACCAAATTTAACCATAATGGCATGTAATTTATAACTTAGTTGCTTCTTTGGCGGGGCAACCTGTCCTCTTAAAAATAACGTCGCTTTTGGCCGTTTGCCCGTATGGCCGAAAGTGGACGTAATATGAAAATGAAAATAAATTTGGGATTTTGTTTTCAACAACAGTAAGTTAAGGGTCCTCAGATAGATTAGGTGGGCAGAAAATTCTAATAAAGTTTCAAAACGTTATGAAAAACGTTAATTAAAAGTTTCCTCTTCTAACCTTACCGAGTAAGCCGGACGACTCAAACAGAAAACGGGACGGTACGTCACTTTTGTGAGTCGATTTCATTTCAAATTACGTCCAAATTTGGTCATAGCGCGCATACGAGCGAAAAGTGACGTTATTTTTAAGAGGACGGGTTGTTCACTCTACCATGAAACAGTGGTAGCTCAACACTTCTGAGGTTGTCTGGAAACACTGATGCAGCAAAGGTGGAGAAGCTTCACCATAAGACACAATAACTTGTGCATGGTGATATTAACACGGTGAAGAAATTGCAGCATGGTGGGCAGCATTTATGGCCTAGAGATATGAGTGCTGTGAACTGGTTCCCATAATAATGTTTACATCAGGAGCTGCTGCAACAGCTGAAGCGGCAGAATTTCATACCTTCACGAATTCTGCTGTAGAATGTGCAACTTCAGGAGTGAATTAGGGAACGCCATCAACAATTGTTGGAACAGCAGAATATAGAGTAGTACCAGTAATCTGGTAGAGGTTGGTCTGGATGATACGCATTCGTGCAGCGGCTTTTCTCCAAGCTGCCATGAATTCTTCAGTGGCTCTCTTCACTTAGTAAGTAGCCTGTACCTGTTGTGGGTCACCGGAGGAAGCAGTGGCAACAACTGCATGTCTTAATAGCTGAAGCTTGTCGAGCAGCAGCTTCCCAGGAAGCCATAAATTTAGCAGTTGTTTTCTTGAGATCTTCAGTTTGATGGACAGGCTGTGGCAAAGAGTAAGCTGCTTGTTTGACAACAGTTGCACGTCGAGCGGCTTTGTTCCAAGCTGCCATAAATTGAGCAGTTGCCCGCTTTAGTTCTTCAGTTGCATCTACCTGCTTCGGAATTTCTATTGCATAGGTGCGAGAGGGCGCAGATCTTACCAAAGTTGTTTGGATTTGGGTTGCTCTTGCAGTTGCTTCATTCCATGCTGCCATGAAAGTAGCAGTAGCTCTCTGCACTTCTGGGGTAGCCTGGACAGGCTAGGAGGAGAAGTTGCATCGTAGGATACAGAAGCTGGTGCATGGTGATATGAAGAGTGTGAATAAGGTACTGCGTGATGGGTGGCCTTAAGTGATGAGAGCAGTGAACTGTCTCCCTTAATGATGATGTTTACATCAGAGGCTCCTACAGCATTCCACACTTTCATAAATTCTGCTGTGGCATGTGCAACTTCAGGAGTGAATAGGGGAACGCCATCAACACTTGTTGAAACAGCAGAATATGGAGTAGTACCAGTAATCTGGTAGAGGTTGGTCTGGATGATACGCATTCGTGCAGCGGCTTTTCTCCAAGCTGCCATGAATTCTTCAGTGGCTCTCTTGAATTCGTAAGTAGCCTCTACCTGTTGTGGGACACCGGAGGAAGCAGTGGCAGCAACTGCATGTCTAATAGCTGAAGCTCGTTGAGCAGCAGCTTCCCAGAAAACCAAGAATTGAGCAGTTGTTTTCTTAAGATCTTCAGTTTGTTGCAGAGGCTGTGGCAAAGAGTAAACTGCGTGTTTGACAACAGTTGCACGTCGAGCGGCTTTGTTCCAAGCTGCCATAAATTGAGCAGTTGCCCCCTTTACTTCGTCAATTGCTTCAACATGCTTAGGAAATTCAATTGTGTAGGTGCCAGAGGGCGCAGATCTTACCAGAATTGTTTGAATTTGAGATGCTCTTGCAGTTGCTTCATTCCATGCTGCCATGAAAGCAGCAGTAGCTCTCTGCACTTCTGGGGTAGGCTGGACAGGATGAGGCAGTGCAGATGGAGAAGCTGCATCGTAAGATACAGAAGCTGGTGCATGGTGATATGAAGGTTGTGAATAAGTTCCAGCATGGTGAGAGGCCTTGAGAGATGGACGCTGTGAACTGGCTCCCATAATGATATTTACATCAGAGGGTGCTGCAGCAGCAGCATTCCACACTCTCGTGAATTCTGCTGTGGCATGTGCAACTTCAGGAGTAAATTGGGGAACGCCATCAACAGTTGTTGGAACAGCAGAATATGGAATAGTACCAGTAATCTGGTAGAGGTTGGTCTGGATCGTAGGCACTCGTACAACAGCATTTCTCCAAGCTGCTATAAATTCTGTAGTGGCTTTCTTGACTTCGTAAGAAGCTTCTACCTGTTGTGGGTCACCGGAGGAAGCAGTGGCAGACACTGCATGTCTAATAGCTGAAGCTTGTTGAGCAGCAGCTTCCCAGGAAGCCATAAATTCAGCAGTTGTGTTTTTGAGATTTTCAGTCTGATGGACAGGCTGTGGCAAAGAGTAAGCTGCTTGTTGGACAACAGTTGCACGTCGAGCAGCTTTGTTCCAAGCTGCCAAAAATTCAGCAGTTGCCACCTTTACTTCTTCAATTGCTTCAACATGCTTAGGGATTTCAATTGTGTAGGTGCTAGAGGGCGCAGATCTTACCAGAATTGTTTGAATCTGAGTTGCTCTCGCAGCTGCTTCATTCCATGCTGCCATGAAAGCAGCAGTAGCTCTCTGTACTTCAGGCGTAGGCTGGACAGGCTGAAGCAGTGCGGATGGAGAAGCTGCATCGTAAGATAGAGAAGCTGGTGCATAGTGATATGAAGGTTGTGAATAAGTTATTGCTTGGTGGGCGGCTTTGAGTGATGGACGCCATGAACTGTCTCCCATAATGATGTTTTTATCTGGGGCTGCAGCAGCAGCTGCAACGGCAGCATTCCATACCTTCATGAATTCTGCTGTGGCATGTGCAACTTCAGGAGTGAATTGGGGAACGCCATCAACACTTGTTGAAACAGCAGAATATGGAGTAGTACCAGTAATCTGGTAGAGGTTGGTCTGGATCGTAGGCACTCGGACAACGGCATTTCTCCAAGCTGCTATAAATTCTGTAGTGGCTTTCTTGACTTCGTTAGTAGCCTCTACCTGTTGTGGGTCACCGGAGGAAGCAGTGGCAGCAACTGCATGTCTAATAGCTGAAGCTTGTTGAGCAGCAGCTTCCCAGGAAGCCATAAATTCAGCAATTGTTTTCTTGAGATTTTCAGTTTGATGGACAGGCTGTGGCACAGAGTAAACTGCTTGTTGGACAACAGTTGCACGTCGAGCGGCTTTGTTCCAAGCTGCCATAAAGTGAGCGGTTGCCCCCTTTACTTCTTCAGCTGCTTCGACCTGCTTAGGAAATTCAATTGTGTAGGTGCCAGAGGGCGCAGATCTTACCAGAATTGTTTGAATTTGAGATGCTCTTGCAGTTGCTTCATTCCATGCTACCATGAAAGCAGCAGTAGCTCTCTGCACTTCTGGGGTAGGCTGGACAGGATGAGGCAGTGCAGATGGAGAAGTTGCATCGTAAGATACAGAAGCTGGTGCATGGTGATATGAAGGTTGTGAATAAGTTCCAGCATGGTGAGAGGCTTTGAGAGATGGACGCTGTGAACTGGCTCCCATAATGATATTTACATCAGAGGGTGCTGCAGCAGCAGCATTCCACACTCTCGTGAATTCTGCTGTGGCATGTGCAACTTCAGGAGTAAATTGGGGAACGCCATCAACAGTTGTTGGAACAGCAGAATATGGAGTAGTACCAGTAATCTGGTAGAGGTTGGTCTGGATCGTAGGCACTCGTACAACAGCATTTCTCCAAGCTGCTATAAATTCTGTAGTGGCTTTCTTGACTTCGTAAGTAGCCTTTACTTGTTGTCGGTCACCTGAGGAAGCAGTGGAGGTAACTGCATGTTTAATAGCTGAAGCTTGTCGAGCAGCAGCTTCCCAGGAAGCCATAAATTCAGCAGTTGTGTTTTTGAGATTTTCAGTCTGATGGACAGGCTGTGGCAAAGAGTAAGCTGCTTGTTGGACAACAGTTGCACGTCGAGCAGCTTTGTTCCAAGCTGCCAAAAATTCAGTAGTTGCCCCCTTTACTTCTTCAATTGCTTCAACATGCTTAGGGATTTCTATTGCGTAGGTGCCAGAGGGCGCAGATCTTACCAGAATTGTTTGAATCTGAGTTGCTCTCACAGCTGCTTCATTCCATGCTGCCATGAAAGCAGCAGTAGCTCTCTGTACTTCAGGCGTAGGCTGGACAGGCTGAAGCAGTGCGGATGGAGAAGCTGCATCGTAAGATAGAGAAGCTGGTGCATAGTGATATGAAGGTTGTGAATAAGTTCCAGCATGGTGAGAGGCCTTGAGAGATGGACGCTGTGAACTGGCTCCCATAATGATATTTACATCAGAGGGTGCTGCAGCAGCAGCATTCCACACTCTCGTGAATTCTGCTGTGGCATGTGCAACTTCAGGAGTAAATTGGGGAACGCCATCAACAGTTGTTGGAACAGCAGAATATGGAGTAGTACCAGTAATCTGGTAGAGGTTGGTCTGGATCGTAGGCACTCGTACAACGGCATTTCTCCAAGCTGCTATAAATTCTGTAGTGGCTTTCTTGACTTCGTAAGTAGCCTCTACCTGTTGTGGGTCACCGGAGGAAGCAGTGGAGGTAACTGCATGTCTAATAACTGAAGCGTGTCGAGCAGCAGCTTCCCAGGAAGCCATAAATTCAGCAGTTGTGTTTTTGAGATTTTCAGTCTGATGGACAGGCTGTGGCAAAGAGTAAGCTGCTTGTTGGACAACAGTTGCACGTCGAGCAGCTTTGTTCCAAGCTGCCAAAAATTCAGCAGTTGCCACCTTTACTTCTTCAATTGCTTCAACATGCTTAGGGATTTCAATTGTGTAGGTGCCAGAGGGCGCAGATCTTACCAGAATTGTTTGAATCTGAGTTGCTCTCGCAGCTGCTTCATTCCATGCTGCCATGAAAGCAGCAGTAGCTCTCTGTACTTCAGGCGTAGGCTGGACAGGCTGAAGCAGTGCGGATGGAGAAGCTGCATCGTAAGATAGAGAAGCTGGTGCATAGTGATATGAAGGTTGTGAATAAGTTATTGCTTGGTGGGCGGCTTTGAGTGATGGACGCCATGAACTGTCTCCCATAATGATGTTTTTATCTGGGGCTGCAGCAGCAGCTGCAACGGCAGCATTCCATACCTTCATGAATTCTGCTGTGGCATGTGCAACTTCAGGAGTGAATTGGGGAACGCCATCAACACTTGTTGAAACAGCAGAATATGGAGTAGTACCAGTAATCTGGTAGAGGTTGGTCTGGATCGTAGGCACTCGGACAACGGCATTTCTCCAAGCTGCTATAAATTCTGTAGTGGCTTTCTTGACTTCGTTAGTAGCCTCTACCTGTTGTGGGTCACCGGAGGAAGCAGTGGCAGCAACTGCATGTCTAATAGCTGAAGCTTGTTGAGCAGCAGCTTCCCAGGAAGCCATAAATTCAGCAATTGTTTTCTTGAGATTTTCAGTTTGATGGACAGGCTGTGGCACAGAGTAAACTGCTTGTTGGACAACAGTTGCACGTCGAGCGGCTTTGTTCCAAGCTGCCATAAAGTGAGCGGTTGCCCCCTTTACTTCTTCAGCTGCTTCGACCTGCTTAGGAAATTCAATTGTGTAGGTGCCAGAGGGCGCAGATCTTACCAGAATTGTTTGAATTTGAGATGCTCTTGCAGTTGCTTCATTCCATGCTACCATGAAAGCAGCAGTAGCTCTCTGCACTTCTGGGGTAGGCTGGACAGGATGAGGCAGTGCAGATGGAGAAGCTGCATCGTAAGATACAGAAGCTGGTGCATGGTGATATGAAGGTTGTGAATAAGTTCCAGCATGGTGAGAGGCCTTGAGAGATGGACGCTGTGAACTGGCTCCCATAATGATATTTACATCAGAGGGTGCTGCAGCAGCAGCATTCCACACTCTCGTGAATTCTGCTGTGGCATGTGCAACTTCAGGAGTAAATTGGGGAACGCCATCAACAGTTGTTGGAACAGCAGAATATGGAGTAGTACCAGTAATCTGGTAGAGGTTGGTCTGGATCGTAGGCACTCGTACAACAGCATTTCTCCAAGCTGCTATAAATTCTGTAGTGGCTTTCTTGACTTCGTAAGTAGCCTTTACTTGTTGTCGGTCACCTGAGGAAGCAGTGGAGGTAACTGCATGTCTAATAGCTGAAGCTTGTCGAGCAGCAGCTTCCCAGGAAGCCATAAATTCAGCAGTTGTGTTTTTGAGATTTTCAGTCTGATGGACAGGCTGTGGCAAAGAGTAAGCTGCTTGTTGGACAACAGTTGCACGTCGAGCAGCTTTGTTCCAAGCTGCCAAAAATTCAGTAGTTGCCCCCTTTACTTCTTCAATTGCTTCAACATGCTTAGGGATTTCTATTGCGTAGGTGCCAGAGGGCGCAGATCTTACCAGAATTGTTTGAATCTGAGTTGCTCTCACAGCTGCTTCATTCCATGCTGCCATGAAAGCAGCAGTAGCTCTCTGTACTTCAGGCGTAGGCTGGACAGGCTGAAACAGTGCGGATGGAGAAGCTGCATCGTAAGATACAGAAGCTGGTGCATAGTGATATGAAGGTTGTGAATAAGTTCCAGCATGGTGAGAGGCCTTGAGAGATGGACGCTGTGAACTGGCTCCCATAATGATATTTACATCAGAGGGTGCTGCAGCAGCAGCATTCCACACTCTCGTGAATTCTGCTGTGGCATGTGCAACTTCAGGAGTAAATTGGGGAACGCCATCAACAGTTATTGGAACAGCAGAATATGGAGTAGTACCAGTAATCTGGTAGAGGTTGGTCTGGATCGTAGGCACTCGTACAACGGCATTTCTCCAAGCTGCTATAAATTCTGTAGTGGCTTTCTTGACTTCGTAAGTAGCCTCTACCTGTTGTGGGTCACCGGAGGAAGCAGTGGAGGTAACTGCATGTCTAATAGCTGAAGCGTGTCGAGCAGCAGCTTCCCAGGAAGCCATAAATTCAGCAGTTGTGTTTTTGAGATTTTCAGTCTGATGGACAGGCTGTGGCAAAGAGTAAGCTGCTTGTTGGACAACAGTTGCACGTCGAGCAGCTTTGTTCCAAGCTGCCAAAAATTCAGCAGTTGCCACCTTTACTTCTTCAATTGCTTCAACATGCTTAGGGATTTCAATTGTGTAGGTGCCAGAGGGCGCAGATCTTACCAGAATTGTTTGAATCTGAGTTGCTCTCGCAGCTGCTTCATTCCATGCTGCCATGAAAGCAGCAGTAGCTCTCTGTACTTCAGGCGTAGGCTGGACAGGCTGAAGCAGTGCGGATGGAGAAGCTGCATCGTAAGATACAGAAGCTGGTGCATAGTGATATGAAGGTTGTGAATAAGTTCCAGCATGGTGAGAGGCCTTGAGAGGTGGACGCTGTGAACTGGCTCCCATAATGATATTTACATCAGAGGGTGCTGCAGCAGCAGCATTCCACACTCTCGTGAATTCTGCTGTGGCATGTGCAACTTCAGGAGTAAATTGGGGAACGCCATCAACAGTTGTTGGAACAGCAGAATATGGAGTAGTACCAGTAATCTGGTAGAGGTTGGTCTGGATCGTAGGCACTCGTACAACGGCATTTCTCCAAGCTGCTATAAATTCTGTAGTGGCTTTCTTGACTTCGTAAGTAGCCTCTACCTGTTGTGGGTCACCGGAGGAAGCAGTGGAGGTAACTGCATGTCTAATAGCTGAAGCGTGTCGAGCAGCAGCTTCCCAGGAAGCCATAAATTCAGCAGTTGTGTTTTTGAGATTTTCAGTCTGATGGACAGGCTGTGGCAAAGAGTAAGCTGCTTGTTGGACAACAGTTGCACGTCGAGCAGCTTTGTTCCAAGCTGCCATAAAGTGAGCGGTTGCCCCCTTTACTTCTTCAGCTGCTTCGACCTGCTTAGGAAATTCAATTGTGTAGGTGCCAGAGGGCGCAGATCTTACCAGAATTGTTTGAATCTGAGTTGCTCTCGCAGCTGCTTCATTCCATGCTGCCATGAAAGCAGCAGTAGCTCTCTGTACTTCAGGCATAGGCTGGACAGGCTGAAGCAGTGCGGATGGAGAAGCTGCATCGTAAGATACAGAAGCTGGTGCATAGTGATATGAAGGTTGTGAATAAGTTATTGCTTGGTGGGCGGCTTTGAGTGATGGACGCCATGAACTGTCTCCCATAATGATGTTTTTATCTGGGGCTGCTGCAGCAGCTGCAACGGCAGCATTCCATACCTTCATGAATTCTGCTGTGGCATGTGCAACTTCAGGAGTGAATTGGGGAACGCCATCAACACTTGTTGAAACAGCAGAATATGGAGTAGTACCAGTAATCTGGTAGAGGTTGGTCTGGATCGTAGGCACTCGGACAACGGCATTTCTCCAAGCTGCTATAAATTCTGTAGTGGCTTTCTTGACTTCGTTAGTAGCCTCTACCTGTTGTGGGTCACCGGAGGAAGCAGTGGCAGCAACTGCATGTCTAATAGCTGAAGCTTGTTGAGCAGCAGCTTCCCAGGAAGCCATAAATTCAGCAATTGTTTTCTTGAGATTTTCAGTTTGATGGACAGGCTGTGGCAAAGAGTAAACTGCTTGTTGGACAACAGTTGCGCGTCGAGCGGCTTTGTTCCAAGCTGCCATAAAGTGAGCGGTTGCCCCCTTTACTTCTTCAGCTGCTTCGACCTGCTTAGGAAATTCAATTGTGTAGGTGCCAGAGGGCGCAGATCTTACCAGAATTGTTTGAATTTGAGATGCTCTTGCAGTTGCTTCATTCCATGCTACCATGAAAGCAGCAGTAGCTCTCTGCACTTCTGGGGTAGGCTGGACAGGATGAGGCAGTGCAGATGGAGAAGCTGCATCGTAAGATACAGAAGCTGGTGCATGGTGATATGAAGGTTGTGAATAAGTTCCAGCATGGTGAGAGGCCTTGAGAGATGGACGCTGTGAACTGGCTCCCATAATGATATTTACATCAGAGGGTGCTGCAGCAGCAGCATTCCACACTCTCGTGAATTCTGCTGTGGCATGTGCAACTTCAGGAGTAAATTGGGGAACACCATCAACAGTTGTTGGAACAGCAGAATATGGAGTAGTACCAGTAATCTGGTAGAGGTTGGTCTGGATCGTAGGCACTCGTACAACAGCATTTCTCCAAGCTGCTATAAATTCTGTAGTGGCTTTCTTGACTTCGTAAGTAGCCTTTACTTGTTGTCGGTCACCGGAGGAAGCAGTGGTGGTAACTACATGTCTAATAGCTGAAGCTTGTCGAGCAGCAGCTTCCCAGGAAGCCATAAATTCAGCAGTTGTGTTTTTGAGATTTTCAGTCTGATGGACAGGCTGTGGCAAAGAGTAAGCTGCTTGTTTGACAACAGTTGCACGTCGAGCAGCTTTGTTCCAAGCTGCCAAAAATTCAGTAGTTGCCCCCTTTACTTCTTCAATTGCTTCAACATGCTTAGGGATTTCAATTGTGTAGGTGCCAGAGGGCGCAGATCTTACCAGAATTGTTTGAATCTGAGTTGCTCTCACAGCTGCTTCATTCCATGCTGCCATGAAAGCAGCAGTAGCTCTCTGTACTTCAGGCGTAGGCTGGACAGGCTGAAGCAGTGCGGATGGAGAAGCTGCATCGTAAGATAGAGAAGCTGGTGCATAGTGATATGAAGGTTGTGAATAAGTTCCAGCATGGTGAGAGGCCTTGAGAGATGGACGCTGTGAACTGGCTCCCATAATGATATTTACATCAGAGGGTGCTGCAGCAGCAGCATTCCACACTCTCGTGAATTCTGCTGTGGCATGTGCAACTTCAGGAGTAAATTGGGGAACGCCATCAACAGTTGTTGGAACAGCAGAATATGGAGTAGTACCAGTAATCTGGTAGAGGTTGGTCTGGATCGTAGGCACTCGTACAACGGCATTTCTCCAAGCTGCTATAAATTCTGTAGTGGCTTTCTTGACTTCGTAAGTAGCCTCTACCTGTTGTAGGTCACCGGAGGAAGCAGTGGAGGTAACTGCATATCTAATAGCTGAAGCTTGTCGAGCAGCAGCTTCCCAGGAAGCCATAAATTCAGCAGTTGTGTTTTTGAGATTTTCAGTCTGATGGACAGGCTGTGGCAAAGAGTAAGCTGCTTGTTGGACAACAGTTGCACGTCGAGCAGCTTTGTTCCAAGCTGCCAAAAATTCAGCAGTTGCCCCCTTTACTTCTTCAATTGCTTCAACATGCTTAGGGATTTCAATTGTGTAGGTGCCAGAGGGCGCAGATCTTACCAGAATTGTTTGAATCTGAGTTGCTCTCGCAGCTGCTTCATTCCATGCTGCCATGAAAGCAGCAGTAGCTCTCTGTACTTCAGGCGTAGGCTGGACAGGCTGAAGCAGTGCGGATGGAGAAGCTGCATCGTAAGATACAGAAGCTGGTGCATAGTGATATGAAGGTTGTGAATAAGTTCCAGCATGGTGAGAGGCCTTAAGAGATGGACGCTGTGAACTGGCTCCCATAATGATATTTACATCAGAGGGTGCTGCAGCAGCAGCATTCCACACTCTCGTGAATTCTGCTGTGGCATGTGCAACTTCAGGAGTAAATTGGGGAACGCCATCAACAGTTGTTGGAACAGCAGAATATGGAGTAGTACCAGTAATCTGGTAGAGGTTGGTCTGGATCGTAGGCACTCGTACAACGGCATTTCTCCAAGCTGCTATAAATTCTGTAGTGGCTTTCTTGACTTCGTAAGTAGCCTCTACCTGTTGTAGGTCACCGGAGGAAGCAGTGGAGGTAATTGCATGTCTAATAGCTGAAGCGTGTCGAGCAGCAGCTTCCCAGGAAGCCATAAATTCAGCAGTTGTGTTTTTGAGATTTTCAGTCTGATGGACAGGCTGTGGCAAAGAGTAAGCTGCTTGTTGGACAACAGTTGCACGTCGAGCAGCTTTGTTCCAAGCTGCCAAAAATTCAGCAGTTGCCCCCTTTACTTCTTCAATTGCTTCAACATGCTTAGGGATTTCAATTGTGTAGGTGCCAGAGGGCGCAGATCTTACCAGAATTGTTTGAATCTGAGTTGCTCTCGCAGCTGCTTCATTCCATGCTGCCATGAAAGCAGCAGTAGCTCTCTGTACTTCAGGCGTAGGCTGGACAGGCTGAAGCAGTGCGGATGGAGAAGCTGCATCGTAAGATACAGAAGCTGGTGCATAGTGATATGAAGGTTGTGTATAAGTTATTGCTTGGTGGGCGGCTTTGAGTGATGGACGCCATGAACTGTCTCCCATAATGATGTTTTTATCTGGGGCTGCTGCAGCAGCTGCAACGGCAGCATTCCATACCTTCATGAATTCTGCTGTGGCATGTGCAACTTCAGGAGTGAATTGGGGAACGCCATCAACACTTGTTGAAACAGCAGAATATGGAGTAGTACCAGTAATCTGGTAGAGGTTGGTCTGGATCGTAGGCACTCGGACAACGGCATTTCTCCAAGCTGCTATAAATTCTGTAGTGGCTTTCTTGACTTCGTTAGTAGCCTCTACCTGTTGTGGGTCACCGGAGGAAGCAGTGGCAGCAACTGCATGTCTAATAGCTGAAGCTTGTTGAGCAGCAGCTTCCCAGGAAGCCATAAATTCAGCAATTGTTTTCTTGAGATTTTCAGTTTGATGGACAGGCTGTGGCAAAGAGTAAACTGCTTGTTGGACAACAGTTGCGCGTCGAGCGGCTTTGTTCCAAGCTGCCATAAAGTGAGCGGTTGCCCCCTTTACTTCTTCAGCTGCTTCGACCTGCTTAGGAAATTCAATTGTGTAGGTGCCAGAGGGCGCAGATCTTACCAGAATTGTTTCAATTTGAGATGCTCTTGCAGTTGCTTCATTCCATGCTACCATGAAAGCAGCAGTAGCTCTCTGCACTTCTGGGGTAGGCTGGACAGGATGAGGCAGTGCAGATGGAGAAGCTGCATCGTAAGATACAGAAGCTGGTGCATGGTGATATGAAGGTTGTGAATAAGTTCCAGCATGGTGAGAGGCCTTGAGAGATGGACGCTGGAACTGGCTCCCATAATGATATTTACATCAGAGGGTGCTGCAGCAGCAGCATTCCACACTCTCGTGAATTCTGCTGTGGCATGTGCAACTTCAGGAGTAAATTGGGGAACGCCATCAACAGTTGTTGGAACAGCAGAATATGGAGTAGTACCAGTAATCTGGTAGAGGTTGGTCTGGATCGTAGGCACTCGGACAACGGCATTTCTCCAAGCTGCTATAAATTCTGTAGTGGCTTTCTTGACTTCGTTAGTAGCCTCTACCTGTTGTGGGTCACCGGAGGAAGCAGTGGCAGCAACTGCATGTCTAATAGCTGAAGCTTGTTGAGCAGCAGCTTCCCAGGAAGCCATAAATTCAGCAATTGTTTTCTTGAGATTTTCAGTTTGATGGACAGGCTGTGGCAAAGAGTAAACTGCTTGTTGGACAACAGTTGCGCGTCGAGCGGCTTTGTTCCAAGCTGCCATAAAGTGAGCGGTTGCCCCCTTTACTTCTTCAGCTGCTTCGACCTGCTTAGGGAATTCAATTGTGTAGGTGCCAGAGGGCGCAGATCTTACCAGAATTGTTTGAATTTGAGATGCTCTTGCAGTTGCTTCATTCCATGCTGCCATGAAAGCAGCAGTAGCTCTCTGCACTTCTGGGGTAGGCTGGACAGGATGAGGCAGTGCAGATGGAGAAGCTGCATCGTAAGATACAGAAGCTGGTGCATGGTGATATGAAGGTTGTGAATAAGTTCCAGCATGGTGAGAGGCCTTGAGAGATGGACGCTGGGAACTGGCTCCCATAATGATATTTACATCAGAGGGTGCTGCAGCAGCAGCATTCCACACTCTCGTGAATTCTGCTGTGGCATGTGCAACTTCAGGAGTAAATTGGGGAACGCCATCAACAGTTGTTGGAACAGCAGAATATGGAGTAGTACCAGTAATCTGGTAGAGGTTGGTCTGGATCGTAGGCACTCGTACAACGGCATTTCTCCAAGCTGCTATAAATTCTGTAGTGGCTTTCTTGACTTCGTAAGTAGCCTCTACCTGTTGTAGGTCACCGGAGGAAGCAGTGGAGGTAATTGCATGTCTAATAGCTGAAGCGTGTCGAGCAGCAGCTTCCCAGGAAGCCATAAATTCAGCAGTTGTGTTTTTGAGATTTTCAGTCTGATGGACAGGCTGTGGCAAAGAGTAAGCTGCTTGTTGGACAACAGTTGCACGTCGAGCAGCTTTGTTCCAAGCTGCCAAAAATTCAGCAGTTGCCCCCTTTACTTCTTCAATTGCTTCAACATGCTTAGGGATTTCAATTGTGTAGGTGCCAGAGGGCGCAGATCTTACCAGAATTGTTTGAATCTGTGTTGCTCTCGCAGCTGCTTCATTCCATGCTGCCATGAAAGCAGCAGTAGCTCTCTGTACTTCAGGCGTAGGCTGGACAGGCTGAAGCAGTGCGGATGGAGATGCTGCATCGTAAGATACAGAAGCTGGTGCATGGTGATATGAAGGTTGTATATAAGTTATTGCTTGGTGGGCGGCTTTGAGTGATGGATGCCATGAACTGTCTCCCATAATGATGTTTTTATCTGGGGCTGCTGCAGCAGCTGCAACGGCAGCATTCCATACCTTCATGAATTCTGCTGTGGCATGTGCAACTTCAGGAGTGAATTGGGGAACGCCATCAACACTTGTTGAAACAGCAGAATATGGAGTAGTACCAGTAATCTGGTAGAGGTTGGTCTGGATCGTAGGCACTCGGACAACGGCATTTCTCCAAGCTGCTATAAATTCTGTAGTGGCTTTCTTGACTTCGTTAGTAGCCTCTACCTGTTGTGGGTCACCGGAGGAAGCAGTGGCAGCAACTGCATGTCTAATAGCTGAAGCTTGTTGAGCAGCAGCTTCCCAGGAAGCCATAAATTCAGCAATTGTTTTCTTGAGATTTTCAGTTTGATGGAGAGGCTGTGGCAAAGAGTAAACTGCTTGTTGGACAACAGTTGCGCGTCGAGCGGCTTTGTTCCAAGCTGCCATAAAGTGAGCGGTTGCCCCCTTTACTTCTTCAGCTGCTTCTACCTGCTTAGGAAATTCAATTGTGTAGGTGCCAGAGGGCGCAGATCTTACCAGAATTGTTTCAATTTGAGATGCTCTTGCAGTTGCTTCATTCCATGCTACCATGAAAGCAGCAGTAGCTCTCTGCACTTCTGGGGTAGGCTGGACAGGATGAGGCAGTGCAGATGGAGAAGCTGCATCGTAGGATACAGAAGCTGGTGCATGGTGATATGAAGGTTGTGAATAAGTTCCAGCATGGTGAGAGGCCTTGAGAGATGGACGCTGGGAACTGGCTCCCATAATGATATTTACATCAGAGGGTGCTGCAGCAGCAGCATTCCACACTCTCGTGAATTCTGCTGTGGCATGTGCAACTTCAGGAGTAAATTGGGGAACGCCATCAACAGTTGTTGGAACAGCAGAATATGGAGTAGTACCAGTAATCTGGTAGAGGTTGGTCTGGATCGTAGGCACTCGGACAACGGCATTTCTCCAAGCTGCTATAAATTCTGTAGTGGCTTTCTTGACTTCGTTAGTAGCCTCTACCTGTTGTGGGTCACCGGAGGAAGCAGTGGCAGCAACTGCATGTCTAATAGCTGAAGCTTGTTGAGCAGCAGCTTCCCAGGAAGCCATAAATTCAGCAATTGTTTTCTTGAGATTTTCAGTTTGATGGACAGGCTGTGGCAAAGAGTAAACTGCTTGTTGGACAACAGTTGCGCGTCGAGCGGCTTTGTTCCAAGCTGCCATAAAGTGAGCGGTTGCCCCCTTTACTTCTTCAGCTGCTTCGACCTGCTTAGGAAATTCAATTGTGTAGGTGCCAGAGGGCGCAGATCTTACCAGAATTGTTTGAATTTGAGATGCTCTTGCAGTTGCTTCATTCCATGCTGCCATGAAAGCAGCAGTAGCTCTCTGCACTTCTGGGGTAGGCTGGACAGGATGAGGCAGTACAGATGGAGAAGCTGCATCGTAAGATACAGAAGCTGGTGCATGGTGATATGAAGGTTGTGAATAAGTTCCAGCATGGTGAGAGGCCTTGAGAGATGGACGCTGTGAACTGGCTCCCATAATGATATTTACATCAGAGGGTGCTGCAGCAGCAGCATTCCACACTCTCGTGAATTCTGCTGTGGCATGTGCAACTTCAGGAGTAAATTGGGGAACGCCATCAACAGTTGTTGGAACAGCAGAATATGGAGTAGTACCAGTAATCTGGTAGAGGTTGGTCTGGATCGTAGGCACTCGTACAACGGCATTTCTCCAAGCTGCTATAAATTCTGAAGTGGCTTTCTTGACTTCGTAAGTAGCCTCTACCTGTTGTGGGTCACCGGAGGAAGCAGTGGAGGTAACTGCATGTCTAATAGCTGAAGCTTGTCGAGCAGCAGCTTCCCAGGAAGCCATAAATTCAGCAGTTGCGTTTTTGAGATTTTCAGTCTGATGGACAGGCTGTGGCAAAGAGTAAGCTGCTTGTTGGACAACAGTTGCACGTCGAGCAGCTTTGTTCCAAGCTGCCAAAAATTCAGCAGTTGCCCCCTTTACTTCTTCAATTGCTTCAACATGCTTAGGGATTTCAATTGTGTAGGTGCCAGAGGGCGCAGATCTTACCAGAATTGTTTGAATCTGTGTTGCTCTCGCAGCTGCTTCATTCCATGCTGCCATGAAAGCAGCAGTAGCTCTCTGTACTTCAGGCGTAGGCTGGACAGGCTGAAGCAGTGCGGATGGAGATGCTGCATCGTAAGATACAGAAGCTGGTGCATGGTGATATGAAGGTTGTATATAAGTTATTGCTTGGTGGGCGGCTTTGAGTGATGGATGCCATGAACTGTCTCCCATAATGATGTTTTTATCTGGGGCTGCTGCAGCAGCTGCAACGGCAGCATTCCATACCTTCATGAATTCTGCTGTGGCATGTGCAACGTCAGGAGTGAATAGGGGAACGCCATGAACAGTTGTTGGAACAGCAGAATATGGAGTAGTACCAGTAATCTGGTAGAGGTTGGTCTGGATCGTAGGCACTCGTACAACAGCATTTCTCCAAGCTGCTATAAATTCTGTAGTGGCTTTCTTGACTTCGTAAGTAGCCTCTACCTGTTGTGCGTCACCGGAGGAAGCAATGGCAGCAACTGCATGTCTAATAGCTGAAGCTTGTTGAGCAGCAGCTTCCCAGGAAGCCATAAATTCAGCAATTGTTTTCTTGAGATTTTCAGTTTGATGGACAGGCTGTGGCAAAGAGTAAACTGCTTGTTGGACAACAGTTGCACGTCGAGCGGCTTTGTTCCAAGCTGCCATGAAGTGAGCGGTTGCCCCCTTTACTTCTTCAGCTGCTTCGACCTGCTTAGGAAATTTAATTGTGTAGGTGCCAGAGGGCGCAGATCTTACCAGAATTTTTTGAATTTGAGATGCTCTTGCAGTTGCTTCATTCCATGCTGCCATGAAAGCAGCAGTAGCTCTCTGCACTTCTAGGGTAGGCTGGACAGGATGAGGCAGTGCAGATGGAGAAGCTGCATCGTAAGATACAGAAGCTGGTGCATAGTGATATGAAGGTTGTGAATAAGTTCCAGCATGGTGAGAGGCCTTGAGAGATGGACGCTGGGAACTGGCTCCCATAATGATATTTACATCAGAGGGTGCTGCAGCAGCAGCATTCCACACTCTCGTGAATTCTGTTGTGGCATGTGCAACTTCAGGAGTAAATTGGGGAACGCCATCAACAGTTGATGGAACAGCAGAATATGGAGTAGTACCAGTAATCTGGTAGAGGTTGGTCTGGATCGTAGGCACTCGTACAACAGCATTTCTCCAAGCTGCTATAAATTCTGTAGTGGCTTTCTTGACTTCGTAAGTAGCCTGTACCTGTTGTGGGACACCGGAGGAAGCAGTGGCAGCAACTGCATGTCTAATAGCTGAAGCTTGTTGAGCAGCAGCTTCCCAGGAAGCCATAAATTCAGCAGTTGTTTTCTTGAGATCTTCAGTTTGTTGCAAAGGCTGTGGCAAAGAGTAAACTGCATGTTGGACAACAGTTGCACGTCGAGCAGCTTGGTTCCAAGCTGCCATAAATTGAGCAGTTGCTCTCTTTACTTCTTCAATTGCTTCAACATGCTTCGGAATTTCAATTGTATAGGTGCCAGAGGGCGCAGATTTTACCAGAATTGTTTGAATCTGAGTTGCTCTGGCAGCTGCTTCATTCCATGCTGCCATGAAAGCAGCAGTAGCTCTCTGCGCTTCTGGGGTAGGCTGGACAGGCTGAGGCAGTGCTCTCCAAGCTGCTATAAATTCTGTAGTGGCTTTCTTGACTTCGTTAGTAGCCTCTACCTGTTGTGGGTCACCGGAGGAAGCAGTGGCAGCAACTGCATGTCTAATAGCTGAAGCTTGTTGAGCAGCAGCTTCCCAGGAAGCCATAAATTCAGCAATTGTTTTCTTGAGATTTTCAGTTTGATGGACAGGCTGTGGCAAAGAGTAAAGAGGGTGCTGCAGCAGCAGCATTCCACACTCTCGTGAATTCTGCTGTGGCATGTGCAACTTCAGGAGTAAATTGGGAACGCCATCAACAGTTGTTGGAACAGCAGAATATGGAGTAGTACCAGTAATCTGGTAGAGGTTGGTCTGGATCGTAGGCACTCGGACAACGGCATTTCTCCAAGCTGCTATAAATTCTGTAGTGGCTTTCTTGACTTCGTTAGTAGCCTCTACCTGTTGTGGGTCACCGGAGGAAGCAGTGGCAGCAACTGCATGTCTAATAGCTGAAGCTTGTTGAGCAGCAGCTTCCCAGGAAGCCATAAATTCAGCAATGTTTTCTTGAGATTGCATCTATGAAGGCTTCAAAGTAGGAAGCTTGTGGACAGTATGCATTCCAGACTCAGTTAAGTCTGTGCATCTGCAACTGCTTCATTCCACAGCTTCTTCAAATGCTAGCATGCTAGCGATTCAGCTAGGGACAGCTAGATGTTGACTGAGTGCATCTCAGAGCTTCATTGATGCTGCATGAGGCACTAGTCTTGACTTCGTGGGCAGAGCTTGATGCTGTGGGCTGGAAGCAGCATGATGGAAGCTGCCTAGAAGACTGTGCAATCGGATATAGGTTTGAATGAATTTCATTGCTTGGTGGCAGCTTGAGTGATGGAGTGAAGCCAGATAACTATGTTTTTGGGCATGCAGACAGCAGTCAACGGCATCCATTACCTTGCATGAATCTCGCGTACGGCATTCAACTTAGTAATGGAAGATCTTGTGACGTCAATATGTAGTCGTAAGTAGTTCTGGTGGATCAGTCCAGGTAGAAGTTCTAGATCGTGCTGCACTGTTGCTATCGAAGTTGCATGCTACATGCTTAGTGGAGCAGGTAGCTCACACTGTTCATAAGCTGAGATTGGCAGCACTTGGTCTAAGATTGCAGTTGTGACGGTTCAGTTTGATGGACAGGCTGTGGCAAAGAGTAAACTGCTTGTTGGACAACAGTTGCGCGTCGAGCGGCTTTGTTCCAAGCTGCCATAAAGTGAGCGGTTGCCCCCTTTACTTCTTCAGCTGCTTCGACCTGCTTAGGAAATTCAATTGTGTAGGTGCCAGAGGGCGCAGATCTTACCAGAATTGTTTGAATTTGAGATGCTCTTGCAGTTGCTTCATTCCATGCTGCCATGAAAGCAGCAGTAGCTCTCTGCACTTCTGGGGTAGGCTGGACAGGATGAGGCAGTACAGATGGAGAAGCTGCATCGTAAGATACAGAAGCTGGTGCATGGTGATATGAAGGTTGTGAATAAGTTCCAGCATGGTGAGAGGCCTTGAGAGATGGACGCTGTGAACTGGCTCCCATAATGATATTTACATCAGAGGGTGCTGCAGCAGCAGCATTCCACACTCTCGTGAATTCTGCTGTGGCATGTGCAACTTCAGGAGTAAATTGGGGAACGCCATCAACAGTTGTTGGAACAGCAGAATATGGAGTAGTACCAGTAATCTGGTAGAGGTTGGTCTGGATCGTAGGCACTCGTACAACGGCATTTCTCCAAGCTGCTATAAATTCTGAAGTGGCTTTCTTGACTTCGTAAGTAGCCTCTACCTGTTGTGGGTCACCGGAGGAAGCAGTGGAGGTAACTGCATGTCTAATAGCTGAAGCTTGTCGAGCAGCAGCTTCCCAGGAAGCCATAAATTCAGCAGTTGCGTTTTTGAGATTTTCAGTCTGATGGACAGGCTGTGGCAAAGAGTAAGCTGCTTGTTGGACAACAGTTGCACGTCGAGCAGCTTTGTTCCAAGCTGCCAAAAATTCAGCAGTTGCCCCCTTTACTTCTTCAATTGCTTCAACATGCTTAGGGATTTCAATTGTGTAGGTGCCAGAGGGCGCAGATCTTACCAGAATTGTTTGAATCTGTGTTGCTCTCGCAGCTGCTTCATTCCATGCTGCCATGAAAGCAGCAGTAGCTCTCTGTACTTCAGGCGTAGGCTGGACAGGCTGAAGCAGTGCGGATGGAGATGCTGCATCGTAAGATACAGAAGGTGCATGGTGATATGAAGGTGTATATGTTATTGCTTGGTGGGCGGCTTTGAGTGATGGATGCCATGAACTGCATAATGATGTTTTTATCTGGGGCTGCTGCAGCAGCTGCAACGGCAGCATTCCATACCTTCATGAATTCTGCTGTGGCATGTGCAACGTCAGGAGTGAATAGGGGAACGCCATGAACAGTTGTTGGAACAGCAGAATATGGAGTAGTACCAGTAATCTGGTAGAGGTTGGTCTGGATCGTAGGCACTCGTACAACAGCATTTCTCCAAGCTGCTATAAATTCTGTAGTGGCTTTCTTGACTTCGTAAGTAGCCTCTACCTGTTGTGCGTCACCGGAGGAAGCAATGGCAGCAACTGCATGTCTAATAGCTGAAGCTTGTTGAGCAGCAGCTTCCCAGGAAGCCATAAATTCAGCAATTGTTTTCTTGAGATTTTCTGAGATTACATTGCTGTAGGGTTGCTGTGAGTGCATAGTGATATGAAGGTTGTGAATAAGTTCCAGCATGGTGAGAGGCCTTGAGAGATGGACGCTGGGAACTGGCTCCCATAATGATATTTACATCAGAGGGTGCTGCAGCAGCAGCATTCCACACTCTCGTGAATTCTGTTGTGGCATGTGCAACTTCAGGAGTAAATTGGGGAACGCCATCAACAGTTGATGGAACAGCAGAATATGGAGTAGTACCAGTAATCTGGTAGAGGTTGGTCTGGATCGTAGGCACTCGTACAACAGCATTTCTCCAAGCTGCTATAAATTCTGTAGTGGCTTTCTTGACTTCGTAAGTAGCCTGTACCTGTTGTGGGACACCGGAGGAAGCAGTGGCAGCAACTGCATGTCTAATAGCTGAAGCTTGTTGAGCAGCAGCTTCCCAGGAAGCCATAAATTCAGCAGTTGTTTTCTTGAGATCTTCAGTTTGTTGCAAAGGCTGTGGCAAAGAGTAAACTGCATGTTGGACAACAGTTGCACGTCGAGCAGCTTGGTTCCAAGCTGCCATAAATTGAGCAGTTGCTCTCTTTACTTCTTCAATTGCTTCAACATGCTTCGGAATTTCAATTGTATAGGTGCCAGAGGGCGCAGATTTTACCAGAATTGTTTGAATCTGAGTTGCTCTGGCAGCTGCTTCATTCCATGCTGCCATGAAAGCAGCAGTAGCTCTCTGCGCTTCTGGGGTAGGCTGGACAGGCTGAGGCAGTGCATGAGAAACAGAAGAACCATATGCTACATTATAAGTGATATGTGCAGGGTGAGTACCTATTGGATATGTTGCCTGGTATTGGTTCACTGGATAAGCTTCAACTCTATGAATGACAGGTGAGGAAACATGATGTCCTCTTTGTAGTGGCCCAGTGGGTTCCGCTCCACCGTATGTAAAGACTTCATGTTTACAGTCATGCGGAAGAGGCGATCCCACAGCTGCCACCAGTAACACTGCAAGCACCTGCAAGTTTAAAAATATAAATACGCTTACAATATAATCTCAAAATTATCGATGTTTGTTATTTTTATTTTTACATGTTCCTGTTCATCGTGCTTATTAGAAAAAGGCTGTAACACTGATATAACGCTTACATACACACATACACACACACCCACACAAACACACACACAGACCTCAGATTGGGGTGAAGTCACCAGTGGAGTCCCACAGGCCTCTATACTCGGTCCTATCCTGTTTCTGATATATGTAAATGATCTCCTGGAGGGTATAAACTCACTTCTCTCAATGTTTGCTGACGAAGTCAAAATTATGAGAAGGATTAAGACAGAGGAGGACTGCTTGAGGCGTCAAGAAGACCTAGACTGACTGAAGGAATGGTCGAACAAATTGTTGTTAGAGTTTAACTCAAGCAAATGTAATATAATGAAGATAGGTGTATGGAACAGGAAGCCAGATAAAAGGTATCATCTGGAAGATGAAATTCTTCAAGAGTCAGAGAGAGAAAAAGACACACACACACACACACACACACACACACACACACACACACACACACACACACACACACACACACACACACACACACACACACACACACACACAATTAGGTGAGTACAATTAGGTGAGTACACACACACACACACACACACACACACACACACACACACACACACACACACACACACACACACACACACACACACACACACACACACACACACACGTTTGTGAGAACAAACGACAATGAAGTGTGTGAGGAACTGAATAAGAAATTCATGCAAGGAACTGAATAAGAAACATGCAAGAGAGTGCATGTTTTCTCTTTCACAAAGTTGACACATTGTGTACTCGACATTTGGGTTTTGAGAAAGCTGCCAGATACGTCTATATCGCAGGCGTATTCTGGCCACTATAACATCACCTTGCCGGGTTCTTGTTCTATTAGTCCCATATGTGAATGTCTCCTCACGATATCTATCATAATATTTAATGCTACAACTTTCCGGTCTTTGTGAATGTAAGAGATAGGATACAAAGGAAGGTTGATGGGGAGGGATTGAGGGGGAAAAGAGTGGATGGGGGATTGTTGAGGAGAGGAGATTTAGGTGGAGTGGGGTTGAGGGAAGGCCGTGTGGGTGGGAAGGAGTTGAGGGAGGACAAGGTTGGGTTTGGATAGGTTGTGGCTGGGGTGGGTAGGTGAGGGTGGGTTCAGACAGGGGTGGGTAAATGGGCAGGGATAGGTTGTGACTGGTGTGGGTAGGTGGGGATGGGTTGAGGCTGGGGTGAATAGGTGAGGATGGGTTGAGGCTGGGGTGAGTAGATGAGGATGGGTTGAGGCTGGGTTGGGCATGCGGGCAGGGGGATGGGTGGTGATAGGCTGTGGCAGGTAGGTAGGGATGGGTCGAGGCTGGGGTAGGCATACGGACAGGGGATGGGATGGGATAGGCTGTGGCTGGGGGTGGGTTCAAGCTGGGGTGGGTAAATGGGTAGGGGTTGGTTAGGGATAGGTTCTGAGTAGGTGGTGATGGGTGGAGGCTGGGGAGGGGTTGAGGCTTGGTTGGGCATGCGGGCAGGGGTTGGGTGGGGATAGGCTGTGGCTGGAGTGGGTAGGTAGGGGTGGGTTCAGGCTGGGGTGGGCATACGGGCAGGAGTGGGTAAATGGGAAGGGGTTGGGTAGGGATAGGTTGTGGGTAGGTGGGAAGGGGTTGAGGCTGGGATGGGTAGGCGGGAAGGGGTTGAGGCTGGGATGGGTAGGTGGGAAGGGGTTGAGGCTGGGATGGGTAGGTGGGAAGGGGTTGAGGCTGGGATGGGTAGGTGGGAAGGGATTGAGGCTGGGATGGGTAGGTGGGAAGGGGTTGAGGCTGGGATGGGTAGGTGGGAAGGGGTTGAGGCTGGGATGGGTACGTGGGAAGGGGTTGAGGCTGGGATGGGTACGTGGGAAGGGGTTGAGGCTGGGGTGGGTATGTGGGGGTGGGTTGGGGCTGGGGTGGGTAGGTGAGGTTGGGTTGAACCTGAGATGGGTAGGTGGGTTGAGGCTGGAGTGAGTAGGTGGGGGTGAGTTGAGGCTGGGGTGGGCAAATGGATAGGGGTTGAGTAGGAATAGGTTGTGGGTAGGTGGGGATGGGTTGAGGCAGGGGTGGGTAGGTGGGGAGGGGTTGAGGCTGGAGTGGAAATGTGGGTAGGGGTTGGGTGGGGATAGTCTGTGGCTGGGGTGGGTAGGTAGGGGTGGGTTGAAGCTGAGTTGGGCAGGTGGGGGTGGGTTGAGGCTGGGTTGTGTAGGTGGGGTAGTCATTCAGGTTGAGGTTGGGAGGGGATAGGCTGTGGTTGGGGTGGGTAGGCAGGAGAGGGGTTGGGTGAGACAAGGTCGACACCATTGTGTATCTATGAACCACACACATCTTCAACAATTTCTATAACTATATGACCAGTCGTCATATTTTCGCGAATTCGAATTAACCTCAGTTAACCCAAATTATTCAAGTGGACTCTGACAAAATTCAACCACACAATTTTCCTAGAAATTTTCCACTAAATCGTTTAAACTTTTTCCACAAAATCACTATCACTTAATAATAAAAAAAGATCACTCAACGTACAATTACTAACCGGACAAGAAGTACTAAGCCCCGAGGATCTTTTTACATCTTAAAAGGTGTCTCAGTCAGACTGTCTTCAATTTTTTTTCTTTGCTACTGTGTGTTTTACATCTCGTAACGGGGCCAACATGCAAACACCATTCTATTACTGTGTGACTGCTTTTCAGTTCTTGTAACACCCTCAATGTAATGTAACGCAGAAAATTAACTTTCTGCTGTCCAAATAAATAGCATTTGAAATGTATGCGTGTCTAGACAATCTCCCATGGCCTCTGCATCCAACACCAATAATAATTAGTATTGTGTGACTGATTTTCAGTTCTTGTATCACACCCACAATGTAACGTAGCACGGAAAATCAACGTTCTGCTGTCCAAATAAAAATCATTTAGAATGTAAGCGTGTCTTGGCAATCTTCCTTACCTCTACAACCAACACCAAAAATAATTAGTACTGTGTAACTGTTTTCAGTGATTGTCTGTCTGTCTGTCTCTCTCTGTCAACCCCAACAGGGGTTAAACTCTCAGCTGTGGTCGATGCGCTCCAGCTCTCATCGCAGCTCGCCTACCCTCACATCCGGCGACACCTGCCCTCTCGTCCATCACACGTCACTTCCCTAACCCCATAGTCTGTCTACATTTCTCCTCAAACACACCAATAGTTGGGAAAAGTATTTTTTTCCAAGTGACCTTAGTTTTTAAGATTCCCCCCTCACTCTTACCCTTGTAACCTTGTAATGTAACGTGACCAACATGGTAACATCATTCTTTGCCCAAATAACATTTTTAAGAGTAACAAGTGTCGTAAGGTGGTCTTCAATCTTATTATTATAACAAATCAAAATCAATGTTACTGTGTATTTCACACTTTGTAATGTAACGTAACCAACATGCTACTATGTGTTTTACACCTTATAACGTAATGTGACCAACGTGCAATCATCATTCTTTCACAAAATAACTTCTTTTTTTAAGAGTAACGAGCGTCGTAAGCCAGTCTTTAATCTTATTCTACATATAAATATTACTGTGTGTCTGTTTTAGTCCTTCTAACACACACACAATGTAACGTAAGGCGGAAAATCAGCGTTCTGCTGTACAAATATCATTTTGAAATGTAAAGCGTGTCTACCTAACGTAACGTGACCAACATGCAAACATCGTTCGCTCATTCTTTTACTGTGACTGTTTTAGACATTGTAAAACACAATGTAACATAACGTAAGGTATAAAATCATGGACTCGATATTATAATTTAAAATTGACTTGTTCATTATCTTTGAGTACGAGCCATTTATCGGGTTTTAGTTCAAGGCTCTCTCGAACATCCAACATTAGTTTGAAGCAGGTATTTGCACCCCTCGTTTTCATATCTGCCAACCCGCTGCTTCTCTCTCCCTAACGCATTAGTGAAATAGCCAGTTTCAATTTTGCTAGGATCAACACGTCAAGTCCGCATATGTTCCCTCTTAGACAGTCACTCAGTTTCAGACCATCTGACCTTGACTCCAATGATGATGGGCAAGACAACCTTGAGGCGTTTAGCACCGTATGTGACATTTATCTCGTTAGCCTCCGATGTCCTGGCTTTGCCGTCATCGTCTAATCAGCAGCTGTCTCTCCTAGCCCCCCCCCCACCTCACGTGTTAACAGGGACATTAAGAGGTTTGACTACATCAACTCTATGTGTGAGGTTATGTTCCCTACAGAATATGTACCACTCTTAATACTTTATTCGTCCAAATATCATTTTAAAGTAAACCTGTATAGTCCGTCTATATGTTGTTTTCAAATCTTATCCATTTATTTTTACTTTGTATAAAAGAGAAATATAGCGAGGTAAAAAACATTGCTGATGTGTTTTTTTATTCAATGTAAACCTAAATGCGGTACCCAATCACTTTTGTGTATGTTAAATCCATCAATGAGGGGATGTAGGTGTGTGTTTCTTTATTCAATGTAAAACATAACATAAAATAAAAGACCAAATGTAGCAATAGCTGACTAGTCAAAACATATAACAGATTCATTTTGCTCACAGTTTTACACAGTAGGGGGTCTTTAATTAAAAAAATAAAATAAAAAATACTTTCACCAACCCACATGTATATTGAGAGACAGAAAGCAAAGCTTAATATGGATAATGTATATAGTTTTAAAAAGGATTTGAATACGAGGAGTCATATTCCATAAAATACTTACATCTATGAGCAGTAAGAGGAGGGTTCTGTTCACATATAAAATTCCGTGCAATACACAGCAATGTAAAACATAATAAAAGTAAAAAAAAAATGTAGCAATACACTATTAGATAGATAGATAGTCAAAACATATAACATGGATTTTTAACTATTACTAGTTTTTTTCTTCTAACAAATAAGGTATCTTTAAGCTGTTCATCACTTCAAACACTTGTTCTGTTTCATAAT